AAAAAACAGAATGAGGCGCTTCACATTAATTATCGTAATAGAAAATTATACATTTCTCTATGTTTTAGCTCTTATGGGTTTTGCTATCAGCACATATTATTGGTTTCTTTCTGCAGAGATTATCCGCTCGTCTGGGTGTTGTCAGTGGAAGGCATATGGCAGAAGTAAATAAGTGTTTTTTTTTTTTTTGAAAAGGCAACAAAAAAGTTTACTAGGAACTATGACTCTATCGCTTTCATTCTACCTTGGAATTCTAAATGTATAGTTCGTCGAGAATGAAACAGAAATTCCTCTTTTACCAGGTAGCATATGAATACTATCCACGAACACCGCGGCTCGTTTTGTGGGTAATGATCGAAATAGCAATTATTGGAAGCGATATGCAGGAAGTTATTGGAACATCGATTGCATTCTATCTTATAACTGGAGGCTGGTGAGTTACTCCGTTGTTAGATCTGTATTAATATTAATCATCCATGAAATTTTTTGTAAAAATTTCCTTGTAAAGACAGAAATGTATTCCGAAAAATTTGAGAATCTTGAATATTTGCAGGATTCCATTATACATTGGTGTTCTGGTTACCGTTCTGGATACATTTCTGTTTTTATTTCTGGATACTTACGGCTTTCGAAAGCTGGAAGTTTTTTTCGTAGTTTTGATCGCGATTATGGGAGCTACCTTTGGTTATGAAGTAAGTGTATTTCTTCTGAAATTGAGATGTACTTTTTGGTATATCTTGAACAAACTTGAGACGTGCAAATGTTTTTAGTATGTAATAGTAAAACCGGACCAGCTTTCGGTCCTCAAAGGTATGTTTTTACCGTGGTGCGAAGGCTGCGGTCGTGACCAGTTCTTGCTTGCCGTTAGTATTGTCGGTGCTGTCATAATGCCTCATAATTTATATCTTCATTCTGCACTTGTTAAGGTTTGTTTTTCTTTACTTTATTCTCTCTTTAATTTGGTTAAAAATAAAAAAACATTTAGTAAAGTTTGTGTAAGTCCATGTTCAGCTGGGAAATCTAAACGTTGGTTTATGTTTCCTGAATCTAGGAAATATTTTTTATTTTAGAGTCGCGAAGTAGATAGGAAAAGGAAAGCTAGTATCCAGGAAGCAAGTTTCTACTTCTTTATCGAGTCCGGTGTTGCCTTATTATGTAGTTTTATAATCAATGTATTTGTTGTTGCTGTTTTTGCTCATGGGTTGTATAACAAGACCAATTACCAAGTAGTATGTTTTACTTTCATGTCATGAAGATTTAAATTCAGTTTTATCCTCATTCAAAACAAGTAAAAGTTATCGGCAATTTATTAGTATGCGAAGTTTACTTCGCAAAACAAACCCACGGGTTACTGTAGTATTATATGATTTTGTCTGTTTAATTTAATTTGGTCTAGCTTTGTTTAAACTTACTTCATTATAGAGGATAAATTGTGATGCACGTGAGGGTATCATGGATCCCACAGCATTTCCTTACGACAATGAAACGGCTAAATCAGATTTATACAAAGGTGGTATATTTCTTGGCTGTGAATTTGGTTTCGTTCCTCTCTATGTTTGGGGTGTTGGTATCTGGGCAGCTGGACAAAGTTCTACAATGACGGGTACCTATACTGGACAGTTTGTGATGGAGGTGTGTCTGTTTACTGAAAATGACATGTGAATATATCTTTCTTGCTATCATTTCCGAATTTAATAAGATATTTTCGGAATTCATATAATGTGCTGCAGGGTTTCTTGCAAATCCGTTGGCCTCGTTGGAAACGAGTTTTGGTTACTCGTAGCATCACAATTGTGCCAGCACTGTTGCTTGCACTACGTATAAATAGTATGCGTGACTTAACGGGAATGAACGATTTATTAAACTGTGTTCAAATGCTGCAGCTACCGTTTGCGCTTATTCCAGCGGTAACATTCACATCTAGTGCCAAAGTCATGCTTGATTTTCGCAATTCCAGGTTCCTTCGTTCTTCCTATACATTCTTTAACTTTGGAGCATTATGTGGTAAAGCTGACTGCATTGCTATTGTAAAGAGGGTTTAACGCTCATAGGAAAAGAGAGAAAGCTCCATATTAATGGACTTGTTGTTTTCTATTTCTTTGCAGAATCGAATCTGTCCCATATAGTGATTTATCTTTCGCTCCTTTATTTTGCAATTTATTTTTAGATTTTTCCAAGTTTCGGCGCTAGTGGTGTCGTGTATTGTAATTTTCATTAATTTGTTCTTCTTCACGGACTATATAACTGAAGAGCTGGGGAATGCGTGGTACATCTGGGTGATACTCTTGATACCATCCATCGCATACCTTATATTCGTCTGCTATTTGGTATATTTACGATTGCTTTCAAAGAAATTTTTCATAATCCAGTGTTTATGAGCAATATTAGTTTGTTTTTTCACTAGATCCGATATGTGCATCTTGTGAAATAAAAATGACAAAATAATTCATATATGACGGAACAGATCACTGAAAGCAATAACAAACGGCAAAGACCGTTACATGTTAGCAGTTAAGATTTGGTTGATTCATCGACTGTTATCTAGCAATCGAATTAAGTGGAAGTATTGTGGTGCTAAGTATTACAAGTTTATTTCAAGAGATTGTATGCTGCTTTAGTGAATTTTGTAGTTTACAGGATGTTATGTAACCATTTGTTTCATTTCATCGTTTCATTTTACTCACTAGAATTGACTGTTAATACTGGACCTGTAGCATTTCCATCATTTTACTGAAAAATTAATCTTTGAAATTTTAGTTGTTCGTATGTGTGGCAGCAATAGATGTTCTGACTTCTCCAAAATGGAAAGTAAATTTTGGTTAAATACGATTCAATTTTTCAACTGTTTAAAATTTTAACTAACTTTTTTGGTTCTATTCACTAGTTGTTACTCCACGTATTGTTATTATAATTATTATAATAACGACATATAGGGTGACATCTAATGGATAAAGTTCTTTAAGATGGTTAGCGGACTTTTCATGTAGTTGGGGATATGAAATTTCGCATGCAAGTAGTCCTACCCCAGATTCTGATTATGTACTTTTTTTTCTCCAGAAGATACCTGGTTTCGATCCAATACATTTCATCACCGATGCACCATGGCTTTCCGAAGAGCAGGAAATTGTGGATACAAAGCGGAACAATAGCGATCGTTATCCTCAAGTGATCAGTTAATTTCATTTCTTGCTGTTCAGCATTTTCTTATTTCTCCTGGATATGTTTGTGGAGGTTATGAATTCTTAATTGGTTCTATTCCTGAAGAACTTCGCAGTAGCAGAGAAAATGCCCCTATCGTGTGAGACCTACTATGTATTGGTACAGCGATACTGAAAGCAGTGAGACAACAGGATTTATGCTAATGTAAAACAACGCGATACACATCCGTATATAAATATATTCCATAAATTAGAAAATTTGTCGTGTTTGACGTAGCCTTTCTATTATGTATATTTATAATTTGGTGTGGTGAATCGAATCCTTTACTTCCAATATGAAAGAGACGCAGTTTGCAATGATATACTTCTTTTACGCAAAGGTTTTCGAAATACTCAGTCCTTTCGAGCATTTTTAGCTTTACGTGTTAAATTATATAAGACCGGAAAATTCATGAAGTTGCGTACAGCGAAATCTCTCGTTGGATTGAGCTATGCATCACCTATCATCCTTGGTACAATGGTTTTTTCTTTCGTTGTTTGAATTACGTTTCAGTTTTGCCAATATCCTTATAGTTTTTTTGGAGGAGATTTTCACTTGGTAATCATATGATCTTTGCCCATTTGAGCTTGGAACGCGATTCATGTAATTATAATTTTCTGAAGTGATGCATTTTTTTTAAAAATTGTGTTCGATACTATTAGATTTGTTCGTTTACAATGAAATATTTTGTTAAGAAAACATATGCAGGACTGTGAGAATAATGCTGACTTTTCGTTGCTAAAATCGCTGTATAGACACTGTAATTAATTAAAACTAATATGTAGGACTTCTGTATTACTATCAGTTTAGGAATTATTGGTAGATTTTTTTGCTGCTTGTCACTTAGCTGTGTAAAGTTATCGACCATGTTGCAAAAAGATATATGAAAACTCGTTTATAAAATTTGCAATGGATTTGTTAAGCAGACATGGTTTTTTTAATGCAGTAGCTTTGTTAGGAAGTATTTTTGA